CATTACTATGATCTCTCTTCTTCATGAAAATCATATTACTTGATCTGGAAAGGAAGTGAGAACTAAGATTATTGCTCTGTTGTCGAGTCTCACTCTGTCAGCCAGGCTGGAGCACAGTGGCTGCAATCTTGGCTTACTACAATCTTCATTTCCTGAGTTCAAGTGAGTCTCCTGCCTCAGCCTCCCCAGTACCTGGGAACACAAGAGCATGCTGCCATGCCCGGCTAATTTTTGTATTTTTAGTAGAGATGGGTTTCACTATGTTGGCCAGGCTGGTCTCGAACTCCTGATCTCAGGTGATCCACCTGCCTCGGTCTCCCAAAGTGCTGGGATTACAGGCGTGAGCCACTGCGCTCTGTTGCTTTCTGAGAAGATGGAAGCTAAAAGAAACCAAGTATTTTGCTCACTGCACCCAAATATGTACATGACCATGATGCTAACTTGGCTGATTTCAGAGTCACTCTATCTCATGTCAGGGTATAGGATATATAATTAACCAAATAAAATTAACCTTAATTCAAGGTACAATAAAAAAAATTAAACTGATTTCCAGATCGCTTTTGGAGGCTGGGTACCTTCAGAAAGACTGAAGAGGGTGACTGCCATTCAGTATCTTTTCAACTACAGTGTTGCTGATTGAAATGGCAAGCAACTTGGAGCAAAGACAACAGAGGAAATACAAAACCAAATCTGGCAACCATTCATTAAGAACCCTGGAGAACAAAAAGAACTTCGGCTGGGGAAGAAGAATACAATTGGGCTAAAGAGTAGATTCCACAAATTTGCAAAAAAACATTTACGGTCATATTTAGGAGCCATCTTGTAGAAGAACAATGTGGGTGACTCTAGCAACAATGGAGTTTCACGTTAAGGCCAGTGACTGTCATTTTTCCAATCAGTTCTCCATCTGCTAAGAGATCGCTCTAAAATGCAAATATGATGCTACTTGTTTCTTAAAAGATCTTCTAAAATGATTCACAGCCAGTTACAGATTTTAAAAAATCCTTCCCTACTCCAGCTGCTTTACTTGAAAAACAAACAAACCTTTAAAAAGATCTTTTAAAAAAAGTATCTCTGGCAGTCTAGTGGTAGGGGGAAAAAACCCAACAGAACCTTTCCAGCGACTCTCAGTGACTTCAGGATGAAGTCTAAATAGCTTAGCGTGACTTAAGGCCCTGCCACTGCCACACGAACTGTTCTCTCCCACAGCCCAGGCAAGCCCAAGCCCAAGCCCAAGCCTCTGGCTGACATGGCTTACTCACTCTGACCAGCCCACCAGCACCAAGAGGCCATTCTCTGTGGTGTGTTTGCTAGCTACACACCTCCACATGGGAAGAGGAGGGCAGACTGAGAAATCTTTATGCAACTCTATGGTTTCTGCAGAGGCCTCTGTACTCCAGATCAGAAATGCCCTTGTGACCCTGTACCCAAGGGATACTCTGACAATGATGGACAGATGTCCCTCATTACTAAGTAATGTTACTTAGTAACCCAGTCCCCATGGACTCCCACGTGGCATTCTGGAGTTAGCGCAGGAATCAGCAGAAGTGATGGAAGTGAAGTCTGAGACAGACCTAGCAGGGCATGTGGAATCGACATACAGCATGCCCAGTGCTGCAGGCGATATGCAGACCCCTTATGCTCTTTTTGTGCTGCAGTACTTCCTGAGGAAACACCTCCCCAGCAAGGTCAATTGCCTTCAATGCATCCTCATGGCACCTGCATCACACTTACCATCACTTAACAGAGTCAACCTTCTCAGAGAAGGGAGCTCCATACATGGAGAAAGTGGCTAGCACAAACTTGGCAGTACTGGACTAGAATTGGGGATGACTGTGAACCCCTCTGTTTTTGCTTTTTATACATAAATACAGATGTAGACATATGTATGTATGTATGTATATTTCTTGGCTCTATGTACTGAGAGGACCTAGAAGCAGACACCCATGGTACTGAGTTCATTCACCTAGTCCCTAGGTGGTGAAAACATACTGTTCTTCACTAGAGTCAGCTCCTTAGAGAAATGCTTGACTTCAAGGCTGGGGCAAGGAAAATACAAGATAAGCCTGGAACATTATGTTACATCCCAAAGTAAAGAAGTGCCCAAAGAATTATGGGGAATTGTCAAAAGGACACAGCAGCCAACTTTAAGGGACTCCTACTGGCTGGGTTTGGGATATTCTAAGTGTTAAAATAATTAAGAAATAGATGATAACCCTTTAAGTAAAAAAAAATGAACCACGGTCCATAGTGATATAGATAAGCAAAAGAATAGATTAATGGAAAAGAAGGGAAAGCTCTAGAGGAGAATGCAAATAATAAATGCAGATGGAATTTCAGTATCACTATTTGGCAATCATCACAGTAATAACTGATTCAGATACGAATCATCAACCGATGTTAAATTTAGTGGATAAAAGTCTGATAAGGAATAGGATTTCATACAATCTTAAGTATCTCCCAACTTATTAAGTTCAACACACTTATTAACTTTACATTGGAGAAACCTGGCAGAAATCATCTTAACAAAGTGAAAAAGTTAATATACCAGTAAGGAGATAAATCAACATCGGGTGCCTCCTGATACAACGAATGCATTGAGAAGAGCCCTACATGACATCTATATGAGTATTCACATCTAAAATGCCTAAGTCACAAAGAAACAACATGAACACAAATGGAAGGAAGCTCTACCAAATAACTGGCCTACAGTCTTCAAAACTGCCAAGTTATAAAAGACAAGGAGTAACAGAAGAACTACTCCAGACTGAAGACATGACAATTCTATACACCTATGATCCTGGACCTACAATGAGGTTGGTGGAGATGGTCACATTAATATTATATTAACTTCCTGATTTATAGGATTGTTCTGTGGTTAAAAAATGAGTATCCTTGTACTCAGGTAATATACATTTAAGTATTTGCAACACATTTACAAATGGTTCAGAAATGTTAATATTGGTGTATCTAGGTAAAGGGAACTATTTCTGCAAACTTTATGAAAATTTAAAATTATTAAAAACAAGTTTTAAAAAATGCTGTCTATACCCCAAACAGAAGAAAAAAAATTCTGAGGATAAAACAATGAAGTTAATGGTGAATCAAGACAGGTTCTGGCTCCGCCCATGCCAGAATTTCACCATGGTTTATTTAAATTTAAGGACTATGTAACTCCATGTACTCACTATAACATCAGCTATCCTAACATTCAAATTAAAAGAAAAATATAAGGCCGGCGCGGTGGCTCATGCCTGTAATCCCAGCACTTTGGGAGGCCGAGGTAGCAGATCACGAGGTCAGAGATCAAGACCATCCTGGCCAACATGGTGAAACCCCGTCTCTACTAAAAATACAAAAAGTTGGCTGCGCATGGTGGCGCATGCCTATAGTCCTAGCTACTCGGGAGGCTGAGGCAGGAGAACTGCTTGAACCCAGGAGGTGGAGATTGCAGTAAGCCTAGATTGCGCCACTGTACCATGGCCTGGACAACAGTGCGAGACTCTGTCAAAAAAAAAAAAAAAAAAGAAAAAGAAAAAGAATATATCCAAAATCAAAAGAGGTCTACTTGACTATCCACACTCTGGAGGAGCACAGGTAATAATACTTTTTGAAAAAATCTGTATTTTAACATTGTAATGTGTATTTACATTTGAAGTATGGCCATGTCTACAATGGTAACTTTTTTGTGAAAAAAAAAATTAGTCATTGCCCTAATTCTGGAACATAATACTAATTTTCAAATAAAGTACGAATGGCATATCCTGCAGGAAAACATTCAGTATGCAGACAGACTAAGCTGTGAAACTTAAATACCATGTCATACCATGATTTCTTTTTGATGGCAAACATGCTAAATTTATTATTTGTAAAATAAACTAAAATTAGAAAGCAATTAAAATAATATGTAAGACATGGCTGGTACTTTACCTTTGTTCTTACAAAGAATGATTTGTCTTCTGTTTCGACAATGTAGAACAGGAAGGTACTTTTACAAGCCTCTTTCATAACACTTCTTAGTTTGACATGCAAACTGGTGCACAAGTCTGTGATCACGTCTTCATAGGAGGCTGACCGTCCTGGGAAAGGCAGATACATCTCTTGAGCAGTGGCTTCTCCAGAAGCATCATTTAACTCTTTGTCTTGGAAAACAGCTTGGTTGCTATTCATCATCACCTTGTTGAATTCAGCATACTCATTGAGAATAAGTGAAATATTTCGAGATTCCTTCAACGTACTGTTATATTTCAGTTTGTTGAGGTGGAATGAAACAGTCTGATTTCTTTGAGAATTTGTAAGATCTCTATTGTGACATCTCTCTCTCCAACAGGAAGAGCTGTCCAGATTGCTGGCTGTGTGGCCTCTCCTGGGCTGCCCCTGTGGTCTGGGATCTGACTCCACAACTGTTATCAGAAGGGGGCTCCTGCTCCTAGGTGCAGGATGCAGAACTGGGGCCTCAGGTATTTTTGTCAAAGGAAAAGCACCAATGGAGCTCTGGGTAGGTAACTCCTTTGGAAAGACATTGGTGGAGGAGGCAGAATGCTGAGAATCCCCATTCTTTATGGTCTGTTTTAGTTTATGTGCAAAACGCAGATACTCCAGGTCTAAAGTGTTCTGGGTGAGGTCGTCTGCCACCTGCCAAGTGCTTGTCCATGAGCTGAGCAGGCCACAGCTTGCAGTGAAACCTGGGTGCCTCCTCAGGCTGCGTGAAGTTCTCGTGGTGTCTTTGAGCTCTTTTGTTACAGAGAAGTTGGCGTAAGTCCTGAGGATCCCGTGCACATCTCGGATTTGGACATAATGCGGCACACACTTCTCTTCTTTCTTTATCCCTGTGGTCCAGTGTCTGGGAGGGAGGCTTGTCTCCATGCCTGGAACCTGGCTAGAGCAGCCCCAGTCCTCTTGGTTGTTGTGGATTTTCGACGACGATTCATAGCCATCTGTGGCAACATCTTCTTTTTTCCCGGTGTAACTGCCTCTTAAAGTATAAGAATCCTCCAAATTGAATTTGGGATTTCTACAATCACCAAGCGGGTCTAGATCAGAATCTCCAGAAAGCAGTTCATAGTGCATGTCAGAATTTACATTCACCTCTGCATCTCTGCCTAGGATTTCAGAACCAGCCTCAGCCTTGTGCCCCTCCTCACTGTTCTCAATTTCTACGTGCTCTGTGGATACTCCACAAACAGAAGTGTCAAAAGATTCCGAAACAAAGGAGGCCGAAGGCTCTTTACTGAGATTTTCCCTGGTGTCTGCTGTATTTTGGTAGAGACCAGTACAAAGGGAGAAAACTCCAACATTCAACAGCTCCTTTGTTTCACATGTTGACACATTTGGCAGTGTGTGCATGGTTTCGCATTCACCTTTTAGAGATGTGGCATTGGACTGAGGGCCATCAGTGACTAGACCTGTGGTTTCTTTGGGTAACTCAGCTTCAGTTTCACCATTCTTAAGCAAACTGGCCATTCTGACTGCTGGTATTTCCTGTGCCTGAAACCCAGGCTCTGCATTTATTGGTCTTACATAATGGGTTAACATACCACTGTCTGAGGAAGAACCAAGTGTTGGGACCACTGAGCACACGCATCCCTGCGTAGAATAAGCTCCATCAACTGAAGCAGCTTTCAAGGACTTCACCTGTGGATAAATGCCTTCATCTGCTTTCAGATCACTGTTAAAGAGATTTTTCTGACTGCTTTTAGGGCTAGTCTGCTGTTTTACCGACACATTCACTGTAACACTTGGTGCAGCTGTGGAAACCAATGTGCCAGACAAAGACTTGTTTTCAGTAACATTTCTAGGACCAAGTGGAGGTTCACTGGACTCCAAGACAAGATGTTTCAGGTCCAAATTTCTGTTCTCTACACTAATTGGCTGCAACAGATTTCCTGATTTTACCAGTTTTTCAGGAGTAGGACTGAAGTCACCTCTGTATTCAGCAGCTGAGGCAGGCTGGTTTAACTCCCTACCACAGCACTGCACCTTTCCTGAGACAGATAAATCCTTATCATGCTCACTTGAGACAATTTCCTCAGTTACTTTACCAGGAAGGGTTGGTCTACCTTTTCTTCCTGGATGATCAGTTATTATTAGAGGGATTTCAGCAGAGACCTGCATTTGTTGTACCTGGGTAAAATTATCTTGTCCCACTGGATGGGTAGGACCAACAAAAAAATTTTCTTTTTCTGTTATGCCTAAATCTTCGGACTTACGCTGGGAGACTCTGTTGCTCTTCTCACACTGTGTACCATGAAGTTTTAAAATGCATGGAGTCACAGCCTGATATGGTCGTGTCTCTTTAACTGGTAGTGGAGGGTCAGGACTAGAAGCTGGTGATACTTCCTCAATTAAGGGATCAAAGGGAAAATCAGAGGTCACATTAATTTCCTCTGCAATCTCAAGGGTGCAATTTTCTTTTGAAAGTATTAAAGTAACTGGCTGTAAATTATCCCCTTTTCTGTCCTTATTTTCTACTGGTTCTTCTGACACTGCAGGATATACCAACTCATAATCAGCAGAATTCACTTCTCTGCTTTCTGTGAGAGCCACCTCTTCTGGTTTACCTATTTCCTTAGCTACATCCTGATGTTCTAAATTTGAGAATGGGGGCTCCTGAAGTTGCTCTATTTCACCAGCTAGCATTTCTTCTCTGGGACTTGTAGGTGGTGATATTGTTAGCGCTAAGTCAATGTCAGAATCTTCCTCTGGTAACTCTAGGCTGACCCCTCTATTCACAGACAGGCTTGTTTGTTTGATAAATACTGAATCAAATGCTTTGAAATTCATCTTTTCAATGTTTGGACCATTCTTGTCATTCTTTCTTAGTTCCAAAGAGTCACCTGATGTGTAGCATCCTGATGAAATGCGGTTAAGTGAACACTGCTTTCCCAAAGAGGTAAAGGGTGATGATGAGTCAACTTCAACTTGTGTCAGTTCTAGAAGTCCTTCTGAAGATAGGCCGAGGAGACTCCGAGTCTGTGAAAGGAAATCCTGAGTGCATCTCACCTCCTCACTGGGTAATGGATAACTAGAACTTTTAACTAATGATAATGCCTCCATTACCATTCCTTTATCAGACGATAGTGAGACTGGAAGAGGCATCTCTTTCTGTAACGAACACATTTCTTTATCAAGTGTCTCTCTACCTACTGAGGAGGTACAAAGGCCTTTCTGTCCTGCCACTACCAGAGAGGGAATGTCCCTAAGGCCTTGTGTTTGTGTTTTATCCAAGGTCGATACAGGATGTCTAAGGCTTGCAGCAGGTGATACTTGCTTAATCAACTCATTATTAAAGGTTGTAGGTTCATCAGCTGTATTTACAACTTCTGTCTGTATTGGTACATATGCTTTTTTTTCGAAGGGGAGAGTAACTGGCTCCAGATTAATCATTACATACTCCATATTATCATCTTTCCTTTCCAAGGAAGGCTGACATTCACTGTTTATGGGGCTGCTATGTTGGATACAGTCCTGTAAAGCATCTGTTTTTGTTTGTATGGGTGCATCAAGAACATCCACTTTGTTTTCAAGGGTGCTGTACACAGAGCTCTGACACATCACTGGCTGACTACCAGTCCCATCATAAGTCCTAGTGAATGTGGCTTGAGTAACAGTGCCACTGTAAGAAGGAACTCTTGTGCTATCCAGTGGCTGAAAAATTTCTTCTTCGCTAGAAACAGAAGGTCCATTAGTTTGTGTAGTTCCAATAGCAGAAAGCACAAGATTAGAAGTCTCCAGTTTATCTGATGATTCTTGTTTTGCGTCTTCCCCAATTACCTGAAATGATCAAAGTAAAAAAAAAAAATCAGTCACATAAATGTTTTTTAAGTGATTACATATGTGAAGAACAGAAAAGACAAAAATTATAAGAATGTCACAGGGTACAAATCAAGCAACTCCCTCTTTTGAAGCAGGCTTAAAATATCCCCCAATGGGATTTGTATTTTCTAAAACCATACAGAGAGAAGAGCTCCGAAACTTTAACTGTGAAGCTTTTTTTTTTTAAATGAGCTTTTTGGAAGAAAAATAGCTAGACCACTGACAATTTAAAACACTTAAAAGGCAGCCTGTTTGCTGATTAGCACCACTTAATCCAGAAATGTAGCACTAGAGAAAAAGCACTCAATTTTGTTTTTAATAAATGAGACTAGAATTTTTTTTTTTT